TAAGGTAGCGCTAATTGATTTCTTGCCTTCTTGGTCATAAATTCCAAATATTACCTAAAGATATTTGCTGTAAAGGAGATGTGGTACAGATTTGGTTAGATATAAATGTTCATTCGCCAAAATGCCCGTCGTGGAAACGGCTAATGGGGTTGAGTGTGAAGTGCGAATGTGCAGGGTGACTGTCTGGAATTGAGGATGTGACGTGTGAGAGTTGAAATGTGGAGAATGCAACGGTGTGGGAGTAAGAGGGTAGAATGAGGGGTGAGATCGGATCAAAAATGAGAATTAGTCAGTCGGTTTGCTTGTGTTGTGATTGAAAGTGTGAGTGAAAGGTGCGAATGTATGTGTGTGAACTGAGTGAAAGAGGAGGATGCTTCTGTGATACGGTGAGGTGACTGTCTGAGAATTACGAGTGGACCGAAAGATTGAACGATTAATCTGACATAAGCATTGCAGTGAAACGGGCGACACGATTCCCACTTGACGTTTACAAAGGTGTCCTTAATTAATCAAAGTCTGTTCAAAGTTGGAACCTTGTTATGTCTTGAAGCACCCACGAAGTTAAGGATTAATTGCACAAAATATAGAGCTTCTACATTCGTTTCTAGAGAGATGATCTTTCTTATAATTGACGCTTAATTTACCGCGATTACCGTGATTTACAAAGAGTTTCTCCCCGCACGATTTAGATATTGTTGGTTGTCAAAGATTAAAATTAAATTTAAAATTCATAAAGGTTAGATCCCTCGGATGCTTGGGAAACATTAAAAATTAGATCTTCCCGCGGCCGGAGACAAACAAGTTTTGCTCCTGGCACATGCCTTAATTGAATTATACTATGTAAATTCGCGTCTGGAGAAAAACGGTATAATCAAATGCTGTGTCGATCCTTCTTATCACAAAGAGCCGCGTCAGCCAGTTAACAGAGAACTGCGACCACAAAAACACCCGAGACAGACGGGGTAAGAAGTGGTGACCTCCACATCTGTACTTTCACTCGCCACTTTTTGTACGGCCAGCGGGCCGCTCTCGATGTCGTTTTTGCGGCTGGTAGGACGTTTTTTTATCGAATCGGCCATGACATCAAGGTTTCCGTCTAGACAGTGAGGATCAAACAAAAGTCACTGTTACTGCCTTAACTGAGGCACCATCCTTCGGCCATATTGAGACACAGTCTGTATGAAACCCATTTAAATAATCAGCTTTAATCGATGCTTTTCAGCAATCCGTAACAATGCTGTGTAAATCCATTGTCAGCGTGATGTCGGGTGATGTAAAGAATATGCATAGCTGAGGAAATCTCTTAACGTGGTCGATTCAAATATAGCACACCTAATAAAGTCGAGCAACGAAATCCAGTTTGATCCGGTTTGCCGATAGTCAGGCGGCGTGCGCGTCAAGGGGCCGCACCATGCCGGTTAACAAAGATCCACGACAAAAAAAACCGCCCCAGACGGACGGGAAGTGATGCTGTGACCTTCCAGCCGCTGGTGACACGGCCAGCAGGCCGCCCTCAACGCTTTTTTTTTTGCGACCAGTAAAATGTTTAGGCGGGTCGGCCTTGGCTATAGGATATGCATCACGGCAGTGAGGATCAGATCCAACACGACTCGGTCTGACCCTGGACGACACCTCCTGATCCGGACTCTCACGACAAGGACGGAACAGGCAAAAAGGCTAGACCAAGGTCATACACAAACCGAAACGGTCACCACCCACGGTCGACGCTCTCACCAGACGTGTGCGATTACCAGGCGATTGAAGAGGCTCACATTGGTATTAGCCGGCTAAATTACGTCAAAACTAGAAAGCGCAGGCCAGAAGCGTGCGGAACAGTATGTGTTATTTGTTGGAACTATTGGCAAAACACATTTGTAATTTAAGATAGTATTTATATGAAAGAAGTTCACATTTGTTGGAAAGGCTCTCATAGATCAATAATGTCATGCTTGTAGAGGTCTAGTTAGAGTTACACAAGCTAATGGCGGATCAAATATCTTATTTCAAATATCATTAATTAACAATAAATGCTTCGTTATCTTTATTACGCTGAATTAGACTTTGTAATACGGCGATCAATTAGGAATTAGGCATCCGGCATAATTGACATGTGCGAGAGGAACCGATTGTGGGTGTACTGGCGAGTCGTATGTACCTAATCTTTTTATGCCGCGTCATCATTTAACGTGGCGTCCAACCCGTTTAAATCGCTCATCTGTGTAGCTCGCTTACTGGAGGGCGCTGTCTCGACCCAAGGTCACCACAGCCACTGAGATGACAAGCACAGTGGGCCAAGGGCGGTGCACTCTGAACCCGAGCACGTTTGTGGCTGGCTTTATTTGAAATATTGGGAGAGGAGTCAGTGCACGACTATCCATTCGCGTTATAACTATATGCAAATAGGAATAACATACGGATACTTCCCCGAGCTCAGGCATTGTGATCTCGGCAGCCGATGCACATAAACAGAGATGTCATTCGAAACTTATGCGGCAAAAGGGAGTGCCTGTGAAATAGAGAGGGAAAGGGTAAGTGAGATAGTGTGTGAGATAGAGAATGAGAGGGTGTATGTGTATGTGTGTGAGAGAGTGAGAGAGAAAGAGTGAGAGAGAGAGAGAGAGAAAAAGAGAGAGAGATGTGTAGATAGAGAGAGGAGGAGAAAGGGAGAACGGGAGAGAGAGAGAGAGAGATAGGGAGAAAGAGAGAGAGAGAGAGAGAGAGAGAGAGAGAGAGAGAGAGAGAGAGAGAGAGAGAGAGAGAGAGAGAGAGAGAGAGAGAGAGAGAGAGAGAGAGAGAGAAGCAAAATACCGATCATTGCGGCATCTAAAGACAATTTTTCCAAGGTCTGTCCATCCGGATGGTAAATGTTACTCCAACTGGCCGTCCAGCGCCATGCGTAGGGATGCAGACCCCGGCCAAACCTCCCTGTCCTTGCAGGCAAGTCAAGGACTGGAGATGGTTGGTCCATATAAAAATAAATCAGGCGGGGAGAACGGTGACTGCGGCGGAGCTTGTACACGACCGGCTAAGTTTAAACGTTGCGCATTAATTACCACACAAATGTCAAAAGTGTCACCAAGCCTCGTTGATATTCGGCGTAATGTAAGATTTACGCCGTTACCAAATTATGTCGACCTACGATGGGAAAAGAGCATTTGTATGGAATAGGTTTTAACCAACGCAGTCTTCTAACTTATCATGTCAGGTGCAATATCAAAATAAAGTATATTTGTTTTATTTGCTTCGTTATTTTGTGAATTATCGAGGATATCCGTTTGAAATTTTAGACATCGTAAATGCGACACCGATGGAGATCGGACCGCGCTGACCGCAATGTCTACAACGTCAAATTTTGTCTCTGATTCCCCTTGCGGTGAAAAGTTTATAAGTTAATGGGGTGTAAATCTTGTCGCTCTGACATCTACGAATGCGCAACAACATAAAGATTGTTATCGCCTGTGACCGACTCTGATGCGGTCATGTTTTGTAAAGTCATTACTTTACTACTGCATTCGAAGGAGCGATGACTGTTCCAAAGCCGTCAATGCCTAAGGTCATGATGGCCTTCTAAATTCTATCATCCTGATTACCCACTACTGCGTAAGTATAAGGACATCTTTGAGGCAAGTATGATCATGACTGTGATCAATAAAGGTAAAATTCCATAAAGGTCCAAATTAAAACAGCATGGAATAAAACTGCATCGAACATGGTAAGATATCGCTTTGGCATACATCTGGGTTATTCGAAATAAACAAGTTTCGACACGGCCAAAGTGTTAAAATCGGGATGGTTATTCGGGAGTTCAGTTCGGTCGTGCCAGCCGGGGTGACATTTCATACATCAGACGGCGAAGATTTATGCCGGTGTCCCACCTGTCAATACAGAGGCTGCCCCTTTTGTTTGCATCACGGCTGGTATCGATCTGGGATTTACCTTCTCTATCCTAAATTGGCCTCCAAGCGATTACATTATAGCTAGTTATTAAAAGGGACATACGGGCGCGTCAAACGCGAAGACGTTTGTGATATTTGACCCAAATGATTCTAACAGGAAACGATGTCGATGTTATTGTGTGTTAAAGTGTATGTATGAAGTGTATGTATGTGTACGCCAGAAGTCGGATGTATATCTGAGCATTAACACGGCAGTCAGCCACCGATGCGAGAGCCAGCCATTCCCTAGTTTTTAATGTGATGTGTAATGTGTTGGTGTGGGAGATGAAATGTATTTGTAAGTGTGTGTGTGTTTGTGTGGGAATGCCTGGTATGGAAAGAATGTTTATATGTATGTGAAAGTATGCTGGCAGGCCGGCGATGCCCTGTCCAGCGGCAGCTGCCAACAGGGATAACGGACCGGCGCCACCATCGTACGTCGACCATCACTGGCGTTGACGACCTCCGTCCGAGCCCGCAAACCATCGGCGGTGCCGGGAAGTGACGAGCACAGTGGTCATCAATTGCCGCCGTGCTCCTGTCACGTAGTGCCAGCACGCCACAGCAAGACGGGCTACGACTCCGAGCCGTCTCCGCCGCGCCTGTCTGCCCACCCAATCACCGACGGCAGCGCCATCCTGGAGCGCGACCCACCGAGCTACTATGCCATCTGGTGGCCCGTGTGACGGTCAATATGCCAATGCGTAGCGCGACCCATCGAGCTCGGAGCTACTCTGCCATCTGGTGGCCCGTGTGACGGCCAATATGCCAATGCGTACGACGGCGCGAGGCGCTGGAGGCCGCCCGACTGAGGTCACGCCCGGCAGTCTAACTCTGCACACCGGCCCGCCGAGGACCTCAGCGGTGCTGCGACAGCGGAACGGCGCTGGACGACTTCGGTGGTAAGACACTCGGCGGCTGGCGGATCCCACTCCAACCGGTGCGCCATCTGATCCGGAAAGCGCCAGGACCGGTAGGCAACGCCATCCCTTCGCCCCACGACGGTCGCCGCAGGCACTCTGATACTGGAGAGTCCCGGCGCGGGCGCTGTCACTTCGACCAACGCACCACCGACACCGGCAGCAGCGCCGCCACGAGCTGGTCAAGCTGCGCCGCACAGCCGACTCGGTGGAGAAGAAGCGCGCCTTCTACCAGGAGCGGGCGGCCTACTTCAGCCAGTACCTGAACACGTGTTAGCAGGCAATGGCGGCCGGCCAGTGCAGTGTGTACCAAGCGGGCGGCCGCGCCGCGCCGCTACTCGGCCGCCCGGCTCAAGGAGAAGGGCGTGCTAGGCATCGAGGGCATGCAACCGGCAGAGCTTGAGGGGGTGCAGTTCGCGATCTCGCCGCTGGCAGCCGAGGGCACGTTCCAGGTGAACGCCAAACTGCTCGGCGTGCAGCTGGAGTGGGAGGAGATCAGCCGACAGGAGCTGCTGCAGCTGCAGTACGGCGGCGTCTCCGTCATGGACATGTTCGGCGGGGTGAGGATCAACGTCAACCTGATCATCTTCCTCCGGTAACAGCAAGTTCTACGGCAAGAACAAGAAGTGAGGCGCGGCGCCGGAGGGCCGGCGTGTGCCGCGACACCAGGTCGGGTCTGTGGGCCCTACGTGCCTGTGTCACACGCCGTGACGTCAGACTCGGAGCCGCCGTCACACGCTGCCCACGGGGGTTCGAACCTCCGCCGTGGCCACCAGCGCCTTACCCCAGGTTCGTTCCACTGAAAGCCCAGGGAAAGCGCCAGAAGCACATTGCCGGGACGGATGCCGCACGGGAACAAATCCCAAGCAAAGGCCCCAGAAGCCGAGCCGCCGACTGCCACCACACCGCCGCCACCGCTGCCACAGCCACGCCGGGGGAGCGCCGTGCGACGCTGCGTCGGACACCAAACGAGCCCAACCAAATTGCCGGGCCGAGGTTCCGCCGGGCAGGGCCGCCGCGGAGATGAAGTAGAGGTAGCCGCCGCGGAGACGAGAAATTAGAAGAGAAGAAGTAGAGGTAGCCGCCGCGGAGACGAGAAATGAGAAGAGAAGAAGTAGAGGTAGCCGCCGCGGAGACCAGAAATGAGAAGAGAAGAAGTAGAGGTAGCCGCCGCGGAGACGAGAAATGAGAAGAGAAGAAGTAGAGGTAGCTGCCGCGGAGGCGCACGCAAGCCGCGGAGGCACGTGCCACGCCGCGGAGGCGCACGCATGACGCAGGCCGCGGAGGCACGTGCGACGCCGCGGAGGCGCACGCAAGCCGCGGAGGCACGTGTAACGCCGCGGAGGCGCACGCAAGCCGCGGAGGCGCACGCACAGCCGCGGAGGCAAGTGCGAAGCCGCGGAGGCGCACGGAAAGCCGCGGAGGCAAGTGCGAAGCCGCGGAGGCGCACGGAAAGCCGCGGAGGCAAGTGCGAAGCCGCGGAGGCGCACAGAAAGCCGCGGAGGCATGTGCAACGCCGCGGAGGCATATGCCACGCCGCGGAGGCACGCACACGAAGCCGCGGAGGCAAGTGCAAAGCCGCGGAGGCGCACGCAAAGCCGCGGAGGCAAGTGCGAAGCCGCGGAGGCGCACGGAAAGCCGCGGAGGCAAGTGCGACGCCGCGGAGGCGCACGGAAAGCCGCGGAGGCATGTGCAACGCCGCGGAGGCACCCACGAAGCCGCGGAGGCAAGTGCGAAACCGGGGAGGCGCACGCAAAGCCGCGGAGGCATGTACAACGCCGCGGAGGCATGTGCGACGCCGCGGAGGCGCACATGTAGCCGCGAAGCACGCACCGCGCGAAGGCGCGCCTATCGCCGTCAAAGATAAAAGAAGAGAAGAGAAGAGAAGAGAAGAGAAGAAAAGAGAACAGAAGTAGCAGTAGAAGAAGAAGTAGAAGTAGCCGCCGCGGAAACCGCGCATGCTGGGGAGGCACGCGTGACACCCCGAAGGCGCGCCGCCTCGAGGGCGCACACAGCCGCGGGAGGAAAATGGACACAAACGCCCCTCTCTCGGAAAGTAAGGGAATTTTTTCCCCCTGCCGGAGAGGGGGGTATTATGTAGGGGAGCGGGTGAGCGGCCGAACCAGCTTGGAGATTAGTTTGAGTCAGTGTCCGTTTTAGTTACCTTGGTTTTGTTAAAATTGTACGCGTGGGATATTTAGGCAGGGGTCTGAAAGGAGGCCAGCGCGGCGGGAACCGCACGGGCACATCGGCCGCCATCTATGGCCTCGAGGCGGCTGATGTGGGCGTGGCCTACTCGGGCGAGGGACGAGACGAAAGCAGGGGAGAGGAGATCGGGGCTCTTGGTGTCTGAATGCCGTCCGGTACGGACATCGAGCCCCCGACTGCTCTCTGCTGCTGGCTCACCTGGCTCGAGGTAGGTTCCTGTCACGCAGGGATTGATGCTGGGCTCAAAGCACATCCCATAGTTAGGATAGGAGCACCGGGGTGGAGGTTCGTAGGTAGTTTCGCGCGTCGGTAACCGTTAGGGTAGTGATAGGGTAGAAACTCGCGGAAACGGAAATAATCGGTCGTCTCGGATCCAATTCAATGCGCAGTCCTTTATGATGTTCGGTTTTACAATAAATGGGGTTTGAATTGACCAGATGCATTTGGAGATGGGTTGAGTCGGAGGAGAACGGAGGTTGAGCGGAGTCAGATTCATTCGGTGCCTAGTTAGTCATTGTGGCTCAGGAGCTTAGCTCCAAACCCAGGGTTCGCTACAAACCGCGTGTGCCCCAAAATGGCGGAGTTATTCACCTGAACCACGATGCATAGTTTAGTACATTTAGTTTAGAGGACAGTGGCCCGGGTGGCAGACGGGTAAAAGGCTGGGAGACGTCCCGGCCGACCACTGATCCTGTAGAGTAGAGTAGAGATCTGGAGGGGAGGTAACGAAGGGCCTACAGGACCGGCCTAAGCCCCCCTCACATGACCTGACCTCGCTGTGACCTGACCTGGTATCAGTGACCTCAGATAGCAAAGTATGTGTTTGACGAACAATGTACCATCGATGGTTTTAAATAAATTACCAATTTACTCGCTTTCACAGCACATTTCTTGAATTGCCTGTGAACGGTGAAAATCTGACCTTTGACCTGACCTGTGACGTCATCGGTTTGACCTAGGTCAATGAAATTTGGTCACAAGGTAGTTCCCGGGTGGGGCTATCGAACTCCGTTTGAATTTTTAAAATCGGCCGGTAACTTTCCGAGATCTTAGGGGGGGCCGAAACGCCCCCCCCCCCCCCTACGGGTGGTAGGGTCCGCCGGTAGCCCTACGGGGCGCGAGTTAAGCAAAGTGGGTCTCTCCATAATGGATTAGGCGATCCAAGCAGAGGTTGGGCGCCCCCGGGAAGTGAGGCATACCAGCATAAGTGAGACGCTTCCAGAAAAAGGAGGGGGCATCACCGGGAGAAGGAGGACTGCACCAGTAAATGGAGGTCACCTTTTTGCTAATATCTTTTGCTAGGGTAGCGGTGCCCATCTACGACTTTTAACCCGTGCCGTGCTGGTGGTCTGAGTTTTCCGTGTCCTGCTGGGGAGGGGAAGGGGGGCACACTCCCTCGTCTAACTCGGCTCCTGGGCCGCGTAGTGACACGCGATAAGCGGCATTCGAAAGATCGTAAAAAAAAAAACAGGACGAAAACAAAACGGTCATTTTTTAGGTCAGGTCGAATGTCAGGTCACCAGAGGTCATCAAAGGTAAAATGTTGCCTGTTTCAACATTTTTCCGTTTTCGAAGCAGCGGCACATAACTCGGAAACCAATAGAGCTATAGCGCCACAGAAAAGCGCATTCGATAGCCCTTTTAAAGTGTTTCTGCAAGCTGCGCTCATATTTGACCTCAGGTCAACGGTTTAGCCTTCAGAGGGCAAAAGACTCTAAAAATAGCCTTTTTACGAACAATGTTTTCCTGCAATAACTTTTGACTCAAGAGAGTCTCGACATTACGTTTGCCAGCATTGCGTTTCTGTCGTCGAGACACGTCGAACAAACTAAAGGTTGACCCTATGAAGGGTAATTTTGAGAATTTGACCTCAGGTCAAGGTCATGACCTGACCGGGAAAGGTCATGCTGCATAGCAGTCGATGCGTATCGTCGAGCTGAACACAGCTGAGGTGTTTTTATCGCTCTAGCTTGAATCTATCAAAAGTTATTAAAAAGAAAATGCTGCGGACATTTCATGACATGGGATGACCTCTGGGACATAATGAGTGGTCACACTAGGTGCAATATTCTTATTCAGTGTGTTAATTTTATATGTATCCCAATGCTTGATATTGTCTAGAATGGCGCTCGTCCAAAGGAGATGCCTTTCAGTTTTCTCCCAAAGACTTAATTATACCTACCTACCAGGGGCGGCGCCACGAATTTTTGACTGTGGGGTACTAGGGTGAAAAGGGCCCATGCATTGTGAAAGGAGCCCATGGTGAAAAGGGCCCTTGCACGGTGAAAAGGGCCCATACATTTACATGGCGTAACCCGCGCTGTACTGGGGGGAGGGGCGTTTTTACGGCCCCCCCGTCAGGCTTTTTGCGAATATCTCAAAAACGGCGGCGCACCTGTTCATACATCATTTCCGCACATGTGAAAATCTCAGACCCGGGTCTTCAAGGTCAGGCCAGAAGTCAATGGGAGAAAATTGAAATGTGCCTCTTTGGGACGAGTGTCGTTCAAAACGCTCTCAAACATCGGTGCATACGTTAACATAGCACACTGAATCGGAAAACTGCACCTGTGACCCCTCTGTATGCCCCTGAGATCATCTCAGATCGTGAACGGTCACCAGCAGTTTTGTGGCCATAACTTTTGATAGAGACGCGCTAGAGCGGTGAAAACACGTCAGATGTGTTCAGCTCGACCATACGGATCAACTGATATGCAGCAGGACCCTTTCTGGGCCGGCCATGACCTTGACCTAAGGTCAAATAAAAATATGACCTTTCAAGGTCAACGAATACTTCATTCGACGTGTGTCGACAAGAGGAACACGATGCTGCCAAAAGTAACGTCGTGACTCTCTTGAGTCAAAAGTTATTGCCGAAAAACATTGTTCGGGTAAACGGCTATTTTTACAGTTGTTGCCCTCTGGAGACTAAACCGTTGACCTGATGTCAGATCTGAGAGCATTATCAAGAAAGGTCTGTAAAAGAGCTATCGAATGCGCTTTTCCGCGGCGCTGTAGCTGTATTGGTTCCCGAGTTAGCCGGTGGCAGTTTCCAAAATTATTGCAATGGACTAAATTAAACCTTTGATGACCTCTGGTGACCTGACCTTTAACCCGGCACTGCCTGGGCTATTTCCATACCCACGACAGCCTGGGGGGTCGGATCCGAGCCCCCCTGTTATCTCGAGAACCAATGGTCGCATCGAGCCCCGCGAGACGGCGTTCGAAAGGTCTCTACGAGACCTTCCCAAATCACTCTTAAAATTTTAGGATTGAGGTCAACTTTCGGGTCAAGGTCAGATCAAAGGTCAATTTCTGGGGTTTTGCATGATTAGGCTTACGGACAGCGGAATCGATAGCTGCTGCTCGAAACTCACCACAAATGACCTCAAAGACCTAGTGAAGGTACAATGTGCGTATAGGGGTCATACTAAGTACGAGTCAAGGTCAGGTTAGGTCACGAAAGGTCACGGTTTTCACTTTCTACTACATGGGCGTGCGACACATGTTTTATGGCTTATTTTTCACGCCGAATCCGATGGTAATGGTTATATGTGACCCCAATTCACTGTGCTGGTGATAAGTGTGCATTGAAAGCATTAAAAAATCATTTATACCATACATAACTAAACGAGGGGTAAGAAAAAAGGTCAAATTTTCAACTTTTTATTTTTGACATTAAAATGCACTTTTCTAGACGAGCTTTGTCCCAGGAATCTAGTGGTGCCATTTGTTTTCACATGCGATGTTCAGAAGTGCCTCTAATTCACGAAAATGCTTATGACGTCACCATGCCCTATGCATGTTGGAGCTATTTTTTACAATTTGGGGGTCAAAAATCAAAAGAGAAAGTTGAAATTTGGGACATCTAATGTTTTAACAGGGCTCTATAACACATATTCCGGTTTCTAGAATTTCTCAAAATTTTGAATTTTATTAGCTGCTTTCCAAAAAATATAGTTTTTTGAATTTTTAGGGGTGAAAACGCATTATGGAAAATCCGAGATAGCCATTTTAAAGAACTTGTTGAGCTGCGTCTGTTCATGTCCTTAATTTGCAATTTGCCTTAAACCCTGATTTTTGACGATTTTTTAAACCTTTACCACTTTTTGACTAAAAACGCCATGTAGTTACATCACTAAAATCGATATATCTCAAAAAAATTTGGAAGGACCCCTGAATGTTTGATAGGGATCTCTAAGCGACAGAAGGACCCTCTAAACACATAAAGGGCCCCTGAACGTTTGACGGGGCCGCCCCATGAGCTACAGAAAACCCTCCACGTACATGACGGGGCCCTCTGACCGCATGTAGGGGCCCCTGATTGTTTGACGGGTCCTCTAAGCCATAGAAAGGCCATATGATATGAGTACACGACAGGGCCCTCTAAGCGCATAAGGAGGCCCTACTCCCACGTAACGGGCCCTCTGAGGTACAAAAAACTCTCTGAGCACATAAAGAGTCCCTGAGCGCCTGATAGGGCTCTCTGAGCGACAAAAAGGCCCCCAGCGCTTAGAGAGCCCCTGAACGCTTGACGAGGGTCCTATGAGCTACAGAAAAGCCCTGAGTACAAGAGAGGGCCCTTTAAACGCATGAAGGGGCCCCTGATTCCTTGGCAAGGGCCCTCCGAGCACATGATAAAGGCCCTGATTGCTAGCAGGGGCCCTCTAAGGTACATAAAGGCCCTATGAGTACACGGCAGGGCCGTCCAAGAGCATGAAGAGGCCCCTAATCGCGCGTGACGGGGCCCTCTGAGCTACAAGAAAACTCTCTGAGCATTTAAAGGGCCCCCTCAACGTCTGACAGGCCTCTCTGAGCGACAGAAGGGCCTCCAGCGCTTAAAGGGCCTCTGTACGCTTGACGAGGGCCCTATGAGTTACAGAAAAGCCCTGAGTACATTAGAGGGTCCTCTTAACTCATGAAGAGGTCCCTGATTCCTTGACGGGGCCCTCTGAGCACCTTATAAAGGTCCCTAATCGCTTGACGGGGGCCCCTCTAAGCTACATAAAGGCCCTCTGAATACACGACAGCACAGGCCTTAAAAGCGCCATACCGATCAGTAGGGGCCTGTAACAGCCGCCTGTCAATTTTTTCAGCATTGGCCCTCTGTCGGTAATAGTCATTTGATCACTGCTAGAACCTATTTAACGAGTTTAGAGGGCCATTGCACGACTACTAAAAAGTCTTGAGAAAGCTCAGACTGGGCTCCTGACTGTGGGGTACTGGGTATATGCAGTACCCCACAGTCAAATGACTGTGGGGTACTAGTACCCCACGTACCCCACGGTGGCGCCGCCCATGCTACCTACCTAATGGAGACGTCGCACAACTGGCCTGACCTTAGGTCACAGATATCGAAATTCCGAGATATACATTTCATGAATAGTGTTGCTTTCATCAATCGCTGAAAGGTTCAAAGCAATCGTTCAGTCG